GCGCCCCCCATTTCAGATCCTCGATCAATAACGGGGTCCGCAGGCATCATTTTTCTGTCGTGCAAAAGAGGCTAAAGAGCGTTTTGTGTGTAGTCCTCGACAAATATCAAAGTTTGCAGGCCTTGAAATCTCACAGACATGATACAAGTAGACTTCGTGCGTGCCCGCTCGATGACGGCGCATCCTGCGCGCCCGAATCCAAGAGGAGGTCTCGAGCGAAACGCTTGTTTGGGAGAACTTGAAGGGCCTGGGCGCCCCAGGATGCCCAGGTGGTTCTGGGAGCTTGGACACAGCGTAATTTGCAAGGGATCGTGGCCCTGGGGGCACGAACGCAGCGTAATTCACAAGGGATCGCGGCCCTGGGAGCGCGGACGCAAAGTAGTTTACAAGGGATCGTGGCCCTGGGAGAGCGGACGCAGTGTAAGTTATCAGGGATCGTGGCCCTTGGAGCGCGGACGCTCTGCAGTTTACACGGGATCCTGCCCCTGGGGCCGCGGACACAGTGTGATTTACAAAGGACCGTGGCCCCGGGGGTGCGGACACAGCGTAATCTACAAGGGATTCTGGCCCTGGGGGGGCGGTCGCAGCGTAATTAGTGAGGGATCCTGCCCACTGGGGGCGCGGAAACGTGGTAATCGAGGAGGGATCGTGGCTGGGCACGCGAAACTTTAGTACTTTTGCGGGGTTCGCGGCCGTGGGAGCGCGGACTCCGTATAATTTACGAGGGATCGTCGCCTATTGGGCACGCGACTCCAGCGTAATCTAAGCTGCATCGCGGCCCCGGGAGCGCGGACGCGGCGTAATCTATCAGGATGCGCTGCTTCGGGTCCACGGCGCCGAATTCCCAGGAAATGGCGGGGGGCCGAAGAGCGCCCCCCGAACACATGTCCCAACCCAGACAAGTTTTGTTTCCGCTCTGGAGAGGGGGGGACTCTTTGAGGGCTAGTTCCGCACTTCCGCGAGGTGCTTTGTGACCCTGGGAATTTACAATGGGTCGTGGCCCAAGCAGCGTGAATCCAGTGTAATTTTCAAGGAATCGTGGCCCTGGGAGCGCGGACGCAACGGACTTTACGAGGGATCGTGGCCCGGGGAGAGGACGCAGCGTAATTTACAAGAGGTCGTGGCTCTGGGGGGGCGGACACAGAGTAATTTACAAGAGATCCTGCCCCTGGAGGGGCGGACACAGCCTCGGAGTGCGAGTCCAGTGTAATTTACGAGGGATCGTGGCCTTGGGAGCGCGGACTCAATATAATTCGCATGGGATCGTGGCCCTGGGAGCGCGGACGCAGTGTAATTCAGGAGGGATCGTGGCAGTGGGAGCGTCAACCCAGTTTAGCTGCGAAGGTCTTACGGCTGGTGCCGCCGACCCTGAAGGGGAACGACGGCGATGGTGGCGGCGGCGACGACGACGACGCTGACGTGGGTCAGAGTCCTCATGGATGCTTCTTGGAGTCTCTTCGAAGTGCTCTCGGGGGCTTCTGGGGTTTCTGGGTTCGTCGCGTGTGACCCCTTTTCTGGGTCCGCGGGGTCTGGGGGAGCGAGGGTCTGTGGGAGCGAGGGTCTGGGGGAGCGGGGGGAGGGGTGGGTATGTCCTCTCCCCCTTTCGCTCCTGTCTACCTTCGGCGTGCCTTCAGCGTACCTTCGCTGCTTTGGACACGCGTACCTTCATCGCACCTTCGGCGTACCTTCAGTAATGTTTCTAAGATAAACAATGCAGACACCTCGTGCCATGAGCGCACCTTCGGCGTACCTTCAACGAGTGTGTCCAACGTACCTTCAAGAGTACCTTCGGCATACCTTCAGCATACCTGCGTAAGTTACCTGGGATCGGGCGTATTTTGCGACGCATCTTGGCACTGGGAGCGCGAATTCAGCGTAATTTGCGAGGGGCCGTGGCAATGGGAGCGCGAACATGGTGTACTTTATGAGGGCTCGAGGCCCTGGGGGAGCGGACGCAGCATCACTTACACCAGTGATCATGGCGCTCGGAGCGCGGACGCATTGTAATTTCCGAGGGATCGTGGTCTTTGGAGCGCGGACGCAGCATAGTTTACGAGGGATCGCGTGGCCCTTGACATCTCGATTTACAACGGGGCGCGAAGATCCTAGGAGGCTTCAAATGATCCGCGGCGCGTCCCTTGGCGCGTCTCTGGCGCGTCCGGTGCCACGTCCCGTGGCGCGTTCTCTGACGCGTTCCCTGGCACGTCCCCTGGCGCGTCGCCTGTAACGTTCCATAGTTCGTTCCGTGGCGCGTCCGGTGGCGTGTCCCCCTGGCACGTCGCGGGGCGCGTCCCCTAGCACGTCTCGTGGCGCGTCCACTGGCACGTTCCGTGGCGCGTCCCCTTGGCACGTCCCGCGGTGCGTTCCCATGGCACGTCCCGTGGCACGTCCCCTGGCGCGTCCCTTGGGACGTTCCGCAGCGCATCCCCCTGCCATGTCCTGCGGCGCGTCCGTGGCACGTCTCTTGGCGCGTCCCCTGGCACGTCACTGTGCGGCACAGCACAGCGCAGCGGAGCACAACACATCCCCTGGCACAGTATCATCACCATCGATATTTTCAGCATTGCCACTTCCCATCGCCCAATTGAGGTCCTTATGAACGAAAGAGCGTGTTCTACCGCTGCTGGCGGAAAACCGGGGGGGTCACTACCGGTTCGAACCCCCCCCCCACTCTCCGGAAAACCAGGGGGGGTCACTACCGGTTCGAACGCCTCCCCCCCCCCAGTCCATCATGAAAAGGGGGGGGGGGGTCATTACCGGTTCGAAACCCCTCCCCCCCTCGAAAACCGGGGGGGTCACTACTGGTTCGAACCCCCCCCCCTCGAAAACCGGGGGGGGGTCACGACTGGTTCGACCCCCCCCCCCTTCGCCGCCGAGCCGGGGAGAGTGGGGACATTGACACACTGGTGGGGGCACTGGTGGGGACAGCGGGGACAATGGTGGGAACAGTGGGGACAGTGGGACAGTGGTGGAGACGGTGGTGGTGGAGAGTGGTGTGGGGACAGAGGGAATGTGGTGGAAACAGTGGGACAGTGGGGGGTACAGTGGTGGTGGGGACAGTGGTGAGGGCGGTGGCGAGGACGGCGGTGGGACAATGGAGCAGGTACAGTGGGGACAGTGGTGGGGACAGTGGTGGGGACAGTGGTGGAAACAGTGGGACAGCTCAGTGGGACAGCGGAGGAGACAGTGGGACAGTGGGGACAGTCGGGACAGTCGGGCAGTGGTTGGGGCCGTTGAGAAAGGGTGGACAGTGGGGGCAGTGGGAACAGTGGTGGTGAGGACACGGGTGCTGGGGACAGCAGTGGGGAACGTAGTGCGGACGGTGGTAGGGACCGGGAGTCGTTTGCTGGCGGTGAGCGTGGGGGGGGGGAAGGGTTCGAACCGGTAGTGACCCTCCCTTGTTTTCGAGGGTGGGGGGTGTTCGAACCAGTAGTGAGCCCCCCCCCGGTTTTCCGGAAAGGAGGGGGGGGAGGGGTCGAACCGGTAGTGACCCCCCCCGGTTTTCCGGAGAGGAGGGGGGGGGGGCGGGTTCGAACCGGTAGTGACCCCCCCCGGTTTTCGAGCGGGGGGGGGGTTCGGATCGGCAGTGACCCCCCCAGGTTTTCCGGAGGGAGGGGGGGGGGTTCGAACCGGTAGTGACCCCCCCGGTTTTTCGGAGGGAGGGGTGGTGGGTTAGGGGAGGGGGGGGGTTTTGCCGGGGGAAGGGGGTGGGGGGGTTCCAGCAAGGGGCGGGGGATTTTCGGAGGGGGGGGGACCCCTGGGTTCCGGAGGAAGAGGGGGGGCAATTTTCCACAGTAAAGCGGCGGTGGATCACGCTCTCTCTTATCAACGTTTCCATGCCTCGCAGTTCTCAATCCCTTTCCGGGTTCGTGGGTCGACCAGGTTTCTTTTCTCCCTCTGTCTCTTTCGTCCGCCGCGTGCCAGCCGTTCCGTGGCCCATCGCGGCCCCATGCGTCGCCGCGGCCTTGGAATCGAGCACCAGGATGTTGAGAGCACTCTGGTGGACGGTGCTTTGCGTTTTGCCTTATTTTGCAGATCATGTGCAGTACGGAACACGTTCCCCTGATGGGGCGCTCAAGCACCCTTTGGAGTGCCCACGTGTGGCCACGGCACGGCCACGGTTGGGCTCCCTTCTCGCTTTGGCGCATCGCTTCAGGAAGAGGGGCTTGTTTCCGACCCCGCTGCTGCTGGAACGGTGCTGTGCCGAAGTTCTCGCTTCAAAGCTGGCAGCATACTGGTTTTTACTCAGCGTTTTGGCTTTGGTTTGATCGCCCTGGGAGAAACGTTCGCTGTTGCTTCTCCTCCTCTTTCTCCTCTTCGTCCTTCCCTGGAGGAGAGGAGCCTTGAGGTGCCAGGCTGAGGAATGGCCCGCCCGAGGCGGTGAAGCCAGGATCTTGGTGGACCCGGGCCCTTCTCGCCGCCAGTCTTCCGGCCACGCGCAGAGGGGGGGAGGGGGAGGGGGAAGGCTTCTCAGAAGCACCCCTGCTTCTTGGAAGGCGCGGGCCTTGCCTGTAGACGTAAGGCTCCCCCTCCTCCTCCTCCTCCTCCTCCTCCTCCTCCTCCTCCTCCTCCTCCTCCTCGGCGCCTTCTAAGAAGCAGCCTCCTTCTAAGACGCCTTCCTCCCTCCCCAAAACTCCCTTCTGTGCGCGCCGCCAAGTCTTGGAACGAGCGGGCCGAGTGCCCGGGTCCTAGGCAGAGGGCTCAACAAAGGGCTTCGCCTTCGAAGGATCAAGGGGTTTGCTCCTCGCCCCCAGCGGAGGCCAGCGGATGGCCCGCCGCAGGCGGCGCGAGTAAACCGAAGGCGGCTGCACTCGCGAAATCTGGCGGAGGCAGTAAAACGTGCCCCACCGAAAGTCGGAGGAGGGAGAGGTGCTCATGCAGCTGCCCTCCCCTCGTTTTCGCCTCTTCGGGCCGCCCTCGTCGCCACCGCTGGGTGAGCCCAAGGAGGCATTGGCACATGTGTGTGTGTGTGCTCCCTCGTGCGGGGAGCGGTTTCCGTTCTCATAGCCATGTGCTCGTAGCCTTGTGCGGCCGCACCGCGGTTCTGCCTGCCTGGGCAGCCGCGGCCTCGCCATGGCGGCCGGCCTTCGCTCGCCAGGCCTGGAGGCTCGCGTGGCGTCTGCCAGCGGGGGCCGCCTCCGCATCCAGGAGCTGCACGCCCATGTCGAAGCACAGAGTCACACGCTCACGCGCTCGCTCATGCGCACACACTCCCTGTGCACATTCATGCGTCGTCTGTCTTCGGAGCGGATATCGGTGATCATTGTTGTTCCGCTCTTCAGGAGACCAAGGACCGCGGGCGTTGCTTGCAGGCAGTGGTTGATGCGGCTTGTGGGACGCTGTTGGCTGAGGAAGAGCCTCTGGCCCTGGGATCATCCGACGGCCTACGTCTTGCAGAGGCTTGCGCTCAGGCCAGCCCGACCGCCCGAACAATCGCTTTCTCAGCACCAGCATGCATCATGCAGCGGTGACCCTGTGCTGATACATGGACATATGATGCCAACTGTTCAGTAGTTGGAGACTGGTGAACACGACGCATCGCCACCCCGACATTTTCACACTTCATGGACGCTGAAGGGTAGATAAAAGGATACGGTTTCGAGCTTGAGGGCGTATTAGAGGCTTGCGCCCCTTACCGGGAAACTGTTCGTAGCGGCTCCGGACCTAATTAACATTCAGAAGCATTATGGTTTTCTGAAGAATTCCACAAAATCGCGAACGCCATTTTTTTTTGAACATTGGCGTTGCCAAGCCATGTGTTTTCATATGTGTTCGGGGCGCTCGATTTTGAACTTCTGACAGAATCTAAGGTTTTTGGAGACTTTCGGCGTGCGCGCGCGACGACGCGCGCGTGTACACTTCGTTCCAAATTTTGCCAGAGATTCTTGCGACAGCACGTGCACAGGAGCCTTCGAACGATTTCGACATGCGCGCGCGAGAGGCCTGTTTTGTAGCATTGTATGTAGCTTTTGAGACACCGATGGTCTTCATAAGAACTCGCCAGGGCGAGGGCGCAAGCTTGTTTTGAAAGTTCTTGTTGCAAAGCCATGTGTTGTTGTACATATGTTTTCGGGGGACTTGATTTTGAAACCCCTTCGGAACCGCAGGTTTTTGAATGGTTTTGGCATGCGCGCGCGGCGACGCGCGCGTGTGAAGTTCGCCCCGTTTTTCGCAAACGGATTTTTGAAAACTTATGTTTTTTTGAAAAGCGAGTGAGCGCGCATAGTTGGTTGCAGAGGATGACGGGGGGGCGATACTGTCCTGCCTGGTTTTGTACGTCAGTTTTTTGGATGGATGATGGGGCAGAATCATAGGTATTTCGCAACGCGAAGAGGGGAATCGTTAATTCCGGGGGGGGTGATCTTATTATTAGTTTATAAAAAACAGAAGATACGCGGTGCTAGATGTGCGGTGCAAGTGGTTTTAACCCATAAATGGACACATCCCGTGCTTTTGCAAACATCCCACCCACCCACCCGCAATTTGGTTAGCAAAACCCATGCGGTGGCGATTGCGATGCATGCTTGGCGTTGGCTGGTGCATGTTTGCGGCCGCGCAAACCCTAGTACGCGCGCGCAGCGGCCAGCCAGTTTGGCGCCACCGACGCGGCCGTGGTGGCGCTGACCGCTGGGCGCATCCCAGCGGGCGCTGCACTGCGAGTCGGCGAGTTGGGCGGGCGCGGTATCATGACAACGCCGACTACGGTAGCCACGATGCTGATAGTGGCGGTGCTGGTGACGATGTTCGCACCGACGAAGGCGCGGCCAGTGCGGGCGCCGATGCTGATAACGCCGACGACGGTGACGGCGTCATCGCGTCGTTGATGAAGGTTCTGGAAAGAGTTCGACATGCGCGCGCGCGGTCGACGCGCGAGATTGGCCCGCATGTTTTTATTTGACACGGATCGTGCCCCCCCCAGCATGCGCGCAAGGGCGCGCGAATGATGTTGGCATGCGGCGACGGGGGGGAGTTGGCAGAATTCCATGCGCATGCTTGAAAACTTCTGGTTGTCACAAGAATTCGCCAGAGCGCGCCAGCAAGGTTTCTTTGAACACTGATGTTGCGAATTCTTGTGTTTTTGAGTGTTTGTTGGGCATTCGGTTTTGGAATCGTTCCGAAACTGAGGGTTACTGAAAGATTTCGGCATGCGCGCGACGACGCGCGCGTGTGCCTTTCGTTCCGGTGCTGGCAAAAAGGATTCCCGCGACGGGACGCGCGCAACAGCGTTGGAACGATTTCGACATGCGCGCGCGAAGCACGCTTGGTAGCATTATCCGGAAATATTCACAACCCGATGGTTGTTATACGAATTCGCAAGAGCGCCCGCACGCATTGTTTGAAATTCCGTGTTGCCAAACCATGTGCTTTTATATGTGTTTTGGACACTCGTTTTTGACATCCTCCCAAAACGTTTTGAAGGATTTCGGCATGCGCGCGCGACGACGCGCGCGTGTGCACTTCGTCTCATCTGTTGCATGGGGTTCATGAAAACTGACAATGTTTGATAAACGAGTGCGCGCGCAGAACATTTTCTGCAAACTATGAGGGGGAATCAAGCCCGGCTGGGCTGGGATGGTATGAGTTCATATTTCGGATTAGCGATGGGGCAGAATCACATGTAAATTGCAACACAAATCGGTGTACCGATATAGGGGGGGTGGTTGTGGATCCCAATTTTTGGAAGAGAATCTAGGCTGTGCAATATATGTTGTGCGCTCGATGTGACTTTGCTATATTTGTTTGATGCAATCTACGTTGTGTGCAAACCATGTGGTTATGTAATAAATTAATCTTGCGCATTTGGGTCGTGCAACCTATGTTGTGAGCGTTTCAACAACATGTATTCTCCGTGCGATCTGCATGGTGCAATCCCGGCGATGAGGCGGCGACGAGGCGGTGACGGGGTGGCAGCGGGGCGGCGACCGCGGCCACAGCCGCCAAACCGAAAACAGGTTTAAACCGACAAAATAATCCCCATGTGTTCGGGGAGTATGCGTATGTAAATATATATATATATATGTATATGCATATGTATATGTAAATGTATATGTATATGTATATATATATATATATATATATATATATATGTGTGTGTGTGTGTGTTCCCCCATCTTTGCTTGGTTTCCTACCTAGAGTGCCACTGCTTCGTACTTACCTCTGATTTGCGGGTCAGCCATGGTCCACCTGACCCACTCGAGCACCACCGCACTGCGTGCCCCTCGCCCGCCATTCGATTCCCCTGTCCCTCTCGCTTCTCCCCTCCCTCCGTCGGCCCTCTTCGTCCCCTCCTCGCGGGTGCCCTTCCGCGAACCGTGTTGTGCGGTTCCCTTTGGGTGAAGCTGGCACGCCCCTGCCGCTGTGAGGTGGGCCCGCCCGCGCGCCCACTTCCGCTTTCCGCCGCTAGCCTGGCTCCGCCGCGTTGCTGCGCGCGTGGCCAGGACACCTATGTGTGCGCGTGTGTGTGTGTGTGTTGTGTGTGTGTGTGTGTGGGTGTGTGTGTGCGTGTGTGTGTGTGTGTGCATGTGTGTGTGCGCGTGTGTGCGCGTGTGTGTGCGCGTGTGTGCGGGTGTGGGTGTGTGTGGGTGTGTGTGTGTGTGCGTGTGCGTGTGTGCGCGTGTGTGCGCGTTTGTGCGCGCGCGTGTGTGTGTGTGTGTGTGTGTGTGTTTGTTTGTGTGTGGGTCGCCGGTCTCGTCAGCTATCACCGAGCGTTGCCCCACCAATCGGCTGGTCTGGCAGTTTTGCAGTTCTGTCCCGCCTCACTGGCTAAGTAGCACCAGACTGCTGCTCGCGCATCAACTCCTGGCGTCGAGCCACGTTCCGCGGGATGATTTGCCGCTGCGTAGTTAGAACCAGATAGCTGCATGCGCTTTAACTCCTGGCGTCGAGCTACGCTCCGCAAGATGCTTGGCCGCTGCACTTTAGCTTTAAGATGCTTCATCTGTTCACCACCGCCACTACCACTCTGCATGGCCGTGGCCAGACTCTTTCACCACGGCGCGTTCGACTAAGTTCGTTCGCAATTGGCACCTACATCTGCCGATCGCGCCTGAACTTCTTCTGCGCCGCCGACTTAAAAGTATGTGTGTGTGTGTTCGTGCGTGGTGTGTGTGTGTGTGTATGCGTGCGTGTCCCTCTGAAGCCAGCCCCGGCCGCGGCATTTGACTTTCTCCCCCTCGTCGCTGCGCGGGCGGCGACCGCCAACAAATCTGTGTGTATGCGCTGCGCCCCCACCTGCCTGCCACGCTGGGCTGCCTCATCAAGTCTGCCCATTCCCAGGTATGCGCATGGCATGGTCGATCCTGTTTGGATCCTTGCCCCATATTCTGAGGGGCCAGCCGCGCACGTTATTTTGTTGGTTAGGGATTTATTCCGCCCCGTGGTTGCGCGCGAGGCCGCGATCGCCAAAACGTGCGTGTGTGTGTGTGTGTGTGCGTGCGCGTGTGCGTGTGCGTGTGCATGTGCGTGTCTGTGGTGTGCGTGTATGCGTGAGTGTGCGTGTGCGTGTGTGTATGAGTGTGTGTGTGTGTGTCAGTGTGTCAGTATGTCAGTGTGTGTGTGTGTGTGTGTCTGTGTGTTTGCGTGTCTGTGTGTCTGTGTGTCTGTGTGTGTTTGTGTGCGCGTGTTTATGTTGTTTCTCTCTTTCTCTTTTTCTTTCCTTCACTTTCTCATGTAAGAGGGTCATGCGCACCAGGTGCTAGCAGGCACGGCACTTGGTTCTCTCACGGGGGCTGACCCAACAAATAACGTTTGCATTGACACATTGGAGGCAGAAGGGCGGGTGGCAATCAAATTCAACGCGCTTTTGAACACGTGGCGCTGCTTTGGACGCTGCATGCTTACCAATACTAGCAGGTATTGCGCTGAGGCCTTTCCAGGGGTGTGTCGACCAAGGGTGTTCAGACGGGCCTGCTCGGGACGAAACCGGTGGTGGCGCTTGGATCGGGCGCGCGCTTTGGGACGCACATGCGTCTCTCACAAAACTTCATTTGGCCCTCCAAATGTTTTCGGCCAGTTTTGTTTGCATGGGTCCGCTGGAGTTCTGAAGAGCCACATGTCCACCAACTGCTACTTCAGCTCGTGGTAATCCAGCTACGGCCAGCTCAGTCCAGCCCAACCATGCTTTTTCAGTTCCTTCAGCGCAGCCCAGCTCTGTCCAACCCGATCTCCACTACGAGATTGAATTTTTCTTTGCCGAAGGCGCAACGCCTATTTTTCTCAGCGTCGCTGGGATACCCAAATTGAGCCCGCCTGTCCTATCCTCCTCCGACGTCCCCATTCCCGAGGGGGGCGAGATGCGTGGGGGAGCGAAGGGCATTCGGCTAACGCGAGCGATGAGTACTTCCTGGCAGTATGCATGTTGATCTTGAGTGTCGTCAGAACCACCCATTCGAATGTTCGCCCCGCCGCGCACCTCAGAGGCCAACAGCATATGCACATGTACACGGTCAGTTTTCGCTGGCCCAGGTTTGAACGCGGTCACTCGGCCACGCGGGGCCGCAGAGGGCGTACATGTACACGTGCCTCTGCGCGCTCCCCTCCCCCTCTTCGGGTGTTGCCACGGGCGTCCTCGGCCCACGGTGCTCCTAGGCTTCCCGAGGGAGGCCCAGAGGGCCTCCAGAGCACCCCTCACGAGGCCCAGAGTGTCCGAGTTGGGGACACCTTGGGCCCGTGGCTGCCGCTTTCCCCGACGGGTGGGCCAAGTGCGCCGTAACTGGCGTTCTGTCGCCCAGGGGCCAGGCCGTCCCTCGCCCGGGGCTGCCTCTGGGGGGCCCTGGCACACGGCCAGAGGGCTGCAGGGACCACCGTCGTCGGCGGTTCAAAGCCCTTCCTATCCTCAGGGCCCCATCCCTCAGGACCTTATCTCTGAACCACGGGCATTGCGCGCGGGTGCAGGCGTCCGCCCGAGTGGTCACGGGCCACTTCTGGCGTGCACCTATCTCCCCGCGGAGCCTCTGGAGGAGGAGGAGGAGGAGGAGGAGGAGGAGGAGGAGGAGGAGGAGGAGCCAGGGCAGCGACTTCGACGCCAGTGAGGACCTCCTGGCCAGCTGCGTCCTGCTGCACGCCGGGGTCGGCGGGGAGCTGGCTCGCAGAGCCACCGCGCAGGCTCGATGCCGCTGGCGAGGAGGAATGGGGGAAGCAGGAGAAGGAGGAGGTGGAGGAGGAGGAGGAGGAGGAGGAGGGGGAGGAGGAGGAGGAGGAGGAGGAGGAGGAGGAGGATGAGGAGGAGGAGGCGGAGGAGGAGGAGGAGGAGGAGGAGGAGGAGGAGGAGGATGAGGAGGACGACGGGGGGGAGAGGAAGATGGAGAGGCCGGGGGAGGAGGAGGAACGAACGAACGCACGAACGCACGAATGAACACTAGGCGCGTGGGCAAGAGCATGATTCTAGCAATGCTCGGCGCGGGGTCAAGGAAAACCGCGGGCAGCAGGAGTCAGAACAAGGGGAAGAAGGAAAAGGAGGAGGAGTAGGAGGAGGAGGAGACGGAGGAGTCTATGATCCAGGCATAAGGCAGGTCCTCTCCCACCCGCCTTGCATTAATTCTAGTTTCCATTCATGTCTTCGGCTGTCTTGGGCGCCGCAGAGGCGGCATGCGTCCGTGATAGCGGCCTGACCTGGACTAGATCGTTCACATTGTGGCATTCATACCATTTTCATTTTCCATGGCGCGACTAGCGGCTAAGAAGCCCGCTTTGTAAACTTGTATTTCGAAGGGCTTCTTTCAGGAGTCCGTGTTCTTATGGATCTTTTCAACGCTAGAAGGGAGCATTGAAGCACTCAGCCTCAGCGTCATTGCGCTCGTCCTCGCACCTCGCAATCCTGAGGGCCGTCAAGGACGGCCAAGATGCCCTCAACATCGGTCCGTAGCCACTTTGGCTCGAGAGCCGCGCGCCGAGCAGCGCCGCGCAGCCCCCCCCCCTCCCCCCGGTGAGCACCCGCGCCCAGCGGCTGGCACGCCCCAGAGGCGGCGCGGAGGCGCGGCGAGCTGCGGCCGCCGCCCACGGGCGCGCGGAGGGCCGCCGCGGCGCGCCGCCGGCGAGCGGCGCGACGGCGAGCGGCAGCTCCGCGGGGAGGTCCGCGCGCCGCCGCGAAGCCAGAGCGCGGCGCCCCAGGAGGGCTCGGCCGCGCCCCGGCCGCCCCCGCAGGCGGCCGCGGCGCTGGCCCGCGGCGCCGTCCAGGAGCCGCCCGGCCTGCTGCGCCTGCCGGGCCCGGCGGAGCCGCCGCGGCAGTGGCGGGCGCCGCCCCGGGTCGCGGGCGAGGGGGGCGCCGCCGCGATGCTGGCAGCCAGCACGCCCACTTGCGGGCGCAGCAGCCGCAGCTCCACGGGTAGCAGCACGCCGAGCTCGGCGCTTCTCGCGCCCTGGCTGCGTCTGGGCGACGCGGCGGCGCCCCCGCCAGAGCCCGCGGAGCTGCGCCACAGGCAGTGGAGCACCGGCAGCTCGGGCTGCGGGGTCCGGCATGAGGTGGAGACGCGTTCCCCAAAGGCGGAGGCGGGGCTCGGCGGCGGCCCGGCGCCTCGGCCTGCGCTGGGCGATGGGGCGTTCGTCTCGAGGTCGAAGGTTGTGCTGCGGCGGGAGATGAGGATCGCCGCAAGGCATCGCCGAGATCTGGAGACCCAGGCGAACAGCGCTGCTCCCGCTAGCGAGTCGGCTGTGCCGCCAGCCGCCTGCGGGGCCGCCGCCGGCCCTGCAACGGGCGGCCGGCGGCCTTCGGCAGCATCGCCGCCACGAGATCCAGCGGCCCTCCAGTAGCTGGCTTGTTGCCCTTTCCAGCATCGGCGCCAAGGACGGCCTCCACGAGTTCCAGAACCCACGCCCTGGGCGGGCCCAGCGGCGTGTTGCAGCTGCGCCCCGAGGGGGCTCCGCGTGCTCCGCTGTGTCTGTGAGTGAATTATGAGCACGTCTCAGGCGAGAGCCCCCTCCCTATGGGGTTTGCTCTTCATGCTGGTATTCCGAGCGGGTCATCGGAACCCTGTCACTGTCGTCACTTTTCGGCTCCTCTGGATTGAATATGGAGGAAGTCTTGGCTCCTCAGGTTCGAATCTAACAGAACTCTCAGGCTGGAGCCTCGTTTGTGAGTGAGTTAATTGCGAGGAAGTCTCAGGCGGGAACCCCCTGCCCATGGGTCCCACGCTTCATGTTTGTAATCCGAGCTGGCCATCGGATCCTTGTAACTGTCGTCACTTTTGGGCTCCGGCGGCTTGTATCAAGCTGGAACCTCGTCTGTGAGTGAATTGTGAAGAAGTCTCAGGCGGGAGCCCCTTGCCTATGGGTCCCGCACTTCTTACGTCTTTCATCCGAGCGGGTCATCGGGAACCTGCAACTGTGGTCTCTTTTTGGGTCGCAGGCCTGAATCTTGACGAGTCTCAGGCGGGAGCCTCGTCTGTGAGTGAATTGCGAGGACGTCTCAGGTTATGATGCTCCAACTTATTTTAGCCTTGATCGCCATAAATAATTTCGAGCCTTGATCGCCATAAATAATTTCGAGCGCCAGAAAAAGCACCGAAACTCAAGGGTTTTCACGTGTCGGGCCCTGGGAGACACTCGCCCGACACTGTTTCGACACTCTTCTGACACTCTGTGGACACTTTTTCGGGTGCCCGAAATTATTTCTGGGATGCGGTCCTTAAGCAGGATGGGAGCAACATAAGTCTCAGGCGGGAGCCCCCTCCCTATGGAAGCCCCGCTTCCATCGTGGAAGCCGAGCGGGCCGCCGGCAAAGCTGCCGCCTGGCATCCGGCCGGGCTTCTCCGGCCAGGAGTCCGGAGGCAGTCCTGTCGGGGACCTCTCGGCCGGGGGAGCTCCCCAGGGGGGCGGAGGGGGCGAGGTCGGGGAGGGGAGGGGGAAGAAGGGGAGAGAGGAAAAGAGGTAGGGAAGGTCCCAGATGATAGGAGGTCCTAGGAACAGGACTTGAGGGAGGACGACGGCGGCCGGGCGCAAGTGGGAAACCCTTGCGTCCTGTCCCGGGGTGATAACCCATCCTCGGCCGGATCGGGGGCAGGGGGAAACCCTTGTCTCTGGGCTGTCGGTGGTAACCCTTCGTCAGCCGAAACAGGGGCAGGGGGAAACCCTTGTCTCTGGGCTGGCGGTGGTAACCCCTCGTCAGCCGAATCGGGTGAAGGGGGAAACCCTTGCGTCGGGGCAGGGGGTGGTGACCCATCCTCAGCCGAATCGAGCGCAGGGGGAAACTCTTGCGTCTGGGCAGGCGGTGGTAACCCATCGTCAGCCGAATCGGGCGCAGGGGGAAAATTCCTTTCGTCCAGGCTGGCGGTGGTAACCCATCGTCAGCCGAATCGGGCGCAGGGGAAACCATTGCGTCCGGGCTAAGGGTGGTGACCCATCCTCAGCCGAATCGAGCGCAGGGGGAAACTCTTGCGTCTGGGCTGGGGGTGGTAACCCATCCGCGCCGAAACCAGGCCCTCCACAAAGACCGTCCAGCGTTCCTATCATGTCCTGCGTTCGCCTGGGCGACTACATGGCCCACGAGACGGTTGCCGGCGCGTTCGGCCTCCGACGGAGGCGCTTGCATGACAAGAGCCAGCGCCGAGCGTATTGGGCCTGAATGAAGCGCGGGTTTTTGAAGCCACGACGTTGGCTATGGCGCGACCAGCTGATTTTCCAAGCTGTCCACTCTTTCGCTCGATGCCTTCTGCGGATGGTCTGGTTTGTTTCTCTTGCAGCTCGCAGCAGAGCTGGACTATGTGCTGCCACCCGCCTGAGCGCGGCGGCGCCCCGCTCGAAGCCCGCGGGGTTGTCCCAACGGCTTGGTCTCGCGCGCCAGCGGCTCGCGGGATTGTCCCGACGGCCTGGCCCGCGGGGTTGTCCCAACGGCTTCGCGATGTGACCATTAGAGAACGCGCCCGTGCTGGCCGAGGCGGCGACGGCGCCGAGGAAAATCGGCACGCGCGCTCTTGCAATAAAGCGGGGGGGAGGTGGCGGGGGGTAAACAAAAAACTGGAGGGCGAGGAGGGGGCAGCGTAGGGAGCGGGAGGAGGGCTTGCGCCAGGGCGAGAAGGAGAATGACGCAGAGGAGACAGTAAGGCCGCCTCACCAATCACGAGGACGACGGTGATGGTTATTTTCGCATTCGCCGAGAGGATTCTCATGTGGGGTCCTGCCGCCGGAATAATTTGAGGCCAACGCGATATTTGAAACAGTGAGCTTGTTTTCCTGAGGCAGGATCTGTCCGAGGGACTCTGTATCCTGGCGGCCACGGCCATTTTCTTATGCGAGAGCACGGTCAGAGTCGAGACAACATGCGTCAGCATCACATTGGGGTTTAGGGTTGGGGGTTTAACGTTTAGGGTTCAGGGCTTAGGGTTTAGATCAGGTAAAACGTGGCCGCGCTGGGCTCGCCTCTCCTGTTGTCCTTCCCCCGCTCCGTCCTTCGCGCCTCCAAAACATCCTTCCTTTGCTCGCCATCCCTCTTGCCCTGGTCCGTTCGGGTGGTCAGCCAGGAATTGGATTGGGCTACTGATACGGCTGACGCGGAGGACTACAATCTTGCGGCTTCTTTTTGATACTCGTGCTCTTTATTTGGAAATGTTGAGTATCAGCGCCCGATGCTGGGATATGAGCGTGGTTCGCGACAGGCGCCCCGCTGGGTCAGAGCAGGCGTCTGCATCGATCGCATGGCGTCCGGGGAACGGTCGATCCAGGAGTGGTCGCGGCACTGCGAGGCGTCAATTACCACGATCGATTAACAAACCGACACTCATCTAATGGGGGATCTGGTTCCGAGGATCATCAGCCGCGACAGTAAAGATAACCTTACCGTTTTTGGGAGGCAATGGTAAAACATGTGGCCCAGAACGGCTTCAGCCTGCTCTTCCTTTCTTCTCCACTTTCCCTCTGTTCGTTCGTCCCCTTCCTTCTTAACCTTTTCGTTGTCATGGCCCAGCAAACAGGCAACAAAAAACCAACGTGGAAACATTCCAGGGGAACTCTTCAGCCCTTGTCCTTCCTTTACATCAAGGTGCACTTGTTTTGATTTTTTTTGTTTAGTTCCCCCTTCAGTTTTTGGAATTCCGACACGCTTCAATGGTGTCGCCCAGAAAAATGGGTATTCGCAGTAGTAGTAGTGGTGGTAGTAGTAGTAGTAGTAGTAGTAGTAGTAGTAGTGGTAGTAGTAGTAGTAGTAGTAGTAGTAGTAGTAGTCGTAGTAGTAGTCGTAGTAGTAGTAGTAGTAGTAGTAGTAGTAGTCTAGTAGTAGTAGTAGTAGTAGTAGTAGTAGTAGTAGTAGTAGTAGTAGTAGTAGTAGTAGTAGTAGTAGTAGTAGTAGTAGTAGTAGTAGTAGTAGTAGTAGTATAGTAGTAGTAGTAGTAGTAGTAGTAGTAGTAGTAGTAGTAGTAGTAGTAGTAGTAGTAGTAGTAGTAGTAGTAGTAGTAGTAGTAGTAGTAGTAGTAGTAGTAGTAGTAGTAGTAGTAGTAGTAGTAGTAGTAGTAGTAGTAGTAAGTAGTAGTAGTAGTAGTAGTAGTAGTAGTAGTAGTAGTAGTAGTAGTAGTAGTAGTAGTAGTAGTAGTAGTAGTAGTAGTAGTAGTAGTAGTAGTAGTAGTAGTAGTAGTAGTAGTAGTAGTAGTAGTAGTAGTAGTAGTAGTAGTAGTAGTAGTAGTAGTAGTAGTAGTAGTAGCAGCAGTAGTAGTAGTAGTAGTGTAGTAGTAGTAGTAGTAGTAGTAGTAGTAGTAGTAGTAGTAGTAGTAGTAGTAGTAGTAGTAGTAGTAGTAGTAGTAGTAGTAGTAGTACTAGTAGTAGTAGTAGTAGTAGTAGTAGTAGTAGTAGTAGTAGTAGTAGTAGTAGTAGTAGTAGTGGTGGTAGTAGTAGTAGTAGTAGTAGTAGTAGTAGTAGTAGTAGTAGTAGTAATAGTAGTAGTAGTAGTAGTCGCTCTTGAGGCGCCCCCGAGGGCTCGCGTTCGCGTTCGCGTCGGTCGCGCCAATCTAGCTGACCGCTGCGCGCGCAAGCACGGCCGCAGAGATGTACCAGCCAACACCCAGCACTCATCGCAATTGTTCCCGCATGGGTTTTGCAACCAAGTTGCGGGTGGGTGGGTGGGATGATTGCGCGAGCAGTGGTGTCGACAACTTCAAGTTCGGCAAGTGAATTCTCCTTTCTAAAAAGAGAATAGACGCCCCCCCCCCGGACTTATCAGCTCCCCCTGGGATAGTATAACTTCACACACATATATATGTATGTATTCTGCACACTCGTCCATCCTAAATATGAAATCGTACCATCCCAGGCAGGCCGGCTTCCTTTTTTTTTTTTTTTTTTTGTTTTTTGTAAAAAAGACAAACACTATGCGGTGACATTTTTTGTTCTAACATAGCACTTTTTTCACGAATCCCTTGCAAAAGATGAGACGAAGTGCACACGCGCGCGTCGTCGCGCGCGCATGCCGAAATTCTTCAAAAACCTTCGGCGCCGGAAGGATTTCGCAATCGAGTTTCCACAAAACATACAAAAACACATGGTTTCGCAACACTGGTTTGCTAAGAAAGCTTCCGCGCGAGCTCTTGCGAAATCTTAAGAAAACCATTGGTTTTTCAAGATTTTCACAAAATGCTACCAAACGGGCTTCGCGCGCGCGCATGTCGAAATCTGTCGAACGCCCTTGCGCGTGTGCCGTCGCGAGAATCCTCTGCAAACAATGGGACGAAGTGCAGACGCGCGCGTGGTCGCGCGCGTACGCCGAAATCCTTCGAAACCCATCGGTTTCGGAAGGATTTCGAAATCGCGCGTCCAAAAACCCTACAACAACCCAAGGTTTCGCAACACGGATTTTCAACAAAAGCGTACGCGCGCGCTCTTGCGTCGTCGTCGTCGTCGTCGCCGTCCTCCCTCCTCCCGCGTCGTTGTCGTCGTCGTCGTCGCCTACGTCGTCCTCGTGTCTTTCCTCGTCGTTCGTCGTCGTCGTCCTCTTTGGCGTCGTGGTCGTTTCCGTCGTCGTTGTCGCCGTGGTCGTCCTTCCTCCTCCTCCCGTCGTCGTCGTCGTCCGTCGTCGGCGTCTCGTCGTCGTCCCTCCTATTTCGTCGTCGTCGTCGTCGTCGTTGTCGTCGTCGTCTTCCCTCCTCCCTCGTCGTTGTCGTCGTCGGCGTCGCCGTCCTTCCTCCTTCTTCGTCGTTCGCGTCGTCGCCGTCCTCCTGTCCTCCCGTCGTCGTGTCGTCGTCGTTCGTCGTCGTTCGTCGCGTCGTCGTCGTCCGTCGTCGTCGTCGTCGTCGTCGTCGTCGTCGTCGTCGTCGTCGTCGTCGTCGTCGTCGGCGTCGTCGGTCGTCGTCGTCGTGTCGTCGTCGTCGTCGTCGTCATCGTCGTCGTCGTTGTCATCGTCGTCGTCGTCGTCGGCGTCGGCGTCGTCGTCGTCGTCGTCGGCGTCGGCGTCGTCGAAGTCGTTGGAGACGTCCTCGGTGTGGTCGTAGTCGTTGTCGGCGGCGTCGTCGTCGGCGTTGTCGCTGTCGTCGTCGGCGTCGCTGTCGTTGGCAAGTGCCATTTTGTACCCACCGTCACGGTCTTAAGAGATTTTGCGAACCAAGTTGCGGGTGGGTGGGTGGGATGTTTGCGCGAGCAGTGGAGTGGTCAAGCGCGGTGCAGGGTAGTCAATTGCACCACATAGTTCGCACCACGCAGATCGCACCACGTACATTACAGGACACATCTTGCAACACATCGTTTGCACCATTTCGATTCTCCTTTCTCAAAAGAGAATAGACTCTACCCCCCCGGCGTTATCGGTCCCCCTTTTCGGGTATGTAAATCAGATATGATTCTGACCACATGTCCATCCTAAATATGACTTTGCACTATCCCCGGGGAACCGGCATCGCTCCCCCTGAGGTTCCCTGGTGAAAAATCAATACGCGGGGACATTGTTTGTTGTAGCATAAGATTTTTCAACGAATCCCTTGCAAACAAAAACGGGACGAAGTGCACACGCGCGCGTAGTCGCGCGCGCATGCCGAAATCCTTCCAAAACGTTCGGTGCCAGAAGGATTTTGCGACCGAGTTTCCAAAACACATACAACAAAACAGGGTTTCGCAACACGGAATTGCTGAAAAAGCTTACGCGCGAGCTCTTGCGAAATCTTAAGAAAACCATAGGTTTTTCAATCTTTTCACAACATGCTACCAAACGGGCTTCGCGCGCGCATGTCGAAATCTGTCGAACGCCCTTGCGCGTGTGCCGTCGCGAGAATCCTCTGCAAACAATGGGACGAAGTGCGACGCGCGCGTCGTCGCGCGCGTATGCCGAAATCATTCAGAGGAGGATTTCAAAATCGTGTGTCCAAAGAACCTACAAAAACACAAGGTTTCGCAACACGGATTTTCAACAAAAGCGTGCGTGCGCGCTCTCGCGTCGTCGTCGTCGTCGTCGCCTACGTCGTCCTCTGTCTTTCCTCGTGTTCGTCGTCGTCGTCCTCTTCGGCGTCGTGGTCGTTTCCGTCGTCGTTGTCGCCGTGGTCGTCCTTCCTCCCCCTCCCTCGTCGTCGTCGTCGTCGTCCGTCGTCGGCGTCTCGTCGTCGTCCCTCCTATTTCGTCGCTTTCGTCGTCGTCGTCGTCGTCGTCGTCGTCGTCGTCGTCTTCCCTCCTCCCTCATCGTTGTCGTCGTCGGCGTCGCCGTCCTGCCTCCTTCTTCGTCGTTCGCGTCGTCGCCGTCCTCCCTCCTCCCTGGTCGTTGTCGTCGTTGTCGCCGTCGTCGTCCTCCCTCCTCCCTCGTCGTCGTCTTCGTTGGCGACGTCGTCGTCGTCGTCGTCGGCGTCGGCGTCGTCGTCTTCGTCGTCGTCGACGTTGGCGTCGTCGTCGTCGTCGCCGCCGTCGTCGTCGTCGTCGTCGTCGGCGTCGTCGACGTCGTCGTCGTCGTCGGCGTCGTCATCGTCGTCGTCGTCGGCGCCGGCGTCGTCGTCATCGTCGTCGTCGGTGTCGTCGTCGTCGTCGTTGCCGTCGTCGTCGAAGTCGTCAAAGCCGTCGTCGTAGTCGTCATACACGTCGTCGTCGGCGTCGTCGTCGTCGTCGGCGACGACGCTGTCGTCGTCGGTGCCGGTGTCGCTGCCAAGTGCCATTTGGTACCGACCGCCGTGGTCTTAAGAGGTTTTGCAGACCAAGTTGCGGGCGGGTGGGTGGGATGTTTGCAAGAGCATGGGGTGTGTCAAATCATGTGTAATAGTCAGTTTTCCTTGCTAAACAGAGAATAGACTCTACCCCCCCCGGCGTTATCCGTTCCACTGTCGGGTATGTAAATCATATATGATTCTGACCACAAGTCCATCCTAAATGTGAATTTGCACCATCCCCGGGGACCAGGATCGCTCCCCCTGAGGTTCCCTTGTAGCGGGGATATATTTTGTTCTCGAATCCCTGGCAAAAAACGGGACGAAGTGCACACGCGCGCGTCGTCGCGCGCGTATGCCGAAATCCTTTAAAAACCTTCGGTGTCGGAAGGATTTCGCAACCGAGTTTCCAAAACACATACAACAACACAGGGTCTCGCAACACTGATTTGCTAAAA